CAAAAACCGCGGTTTTGAGCGGTTTTAAAGAAACGCATAGATGGTCTGACTCCCGGCATCTGAAAATACCGGCCAAAACCGCGGTTTTTAATACCGTTGCCTACCGCGGTTTTTTTGAAAATTTTTTTCCGTGGGTACAATAGATATGTTACCATGTTACTTATTAGATTTCATCCCCAACTTATCATAGATACAGTAAGAATACTCATTGACAATCAAAGTAATCTCACTAAATTTCACAATATAATGTCGCACAGAAATTACGTGGAAAGCTTTTCGTGCAAGATGATTCTAAAAGATAAGAAGAGCAAGAATTACTTCTTTCCATAATTTTTGCCTTTCTAATATTGATATAAGGTAAGTAATGAACGTTTTCTTTTTCGTTTCAGTAAAAAAGACGAGAAGAAAGAGACAAAGATAATTTATCGCTTCTATAAATATTATTCTACTTGTGTGTGTGTATGTTAGAAGCAAAAACATGTTTATTACCGTTACTCTGTTGGCTATCTTTGTTTGCCTCATTGTTTTCTATCTTTGGACGTTGAAATCACGCTATAACTATTTTGTACATCGAAATATTCCTGGTCCACCACCTCGATTTTTCTTCGGTCATTATCTGACTCTTTGGAGTGCTTCCTCTTATTCTCATCAAATTCAAGAATGGACTCGTCAATTTGGTTCCATTTATGGTCTTTTCGAAGGTAGGCGTCCCATGTATGTGGTATCAGATGTTAATTTTTTGCAAGAAGTATTTGTCAAACAATTTTCATCATTTCATTCGCGTCAAACAAATTTCCTTATGAATGTTCTACAAAGCAAAGGAGTCCATTTATTTTCTGCACATGCTAACCAATGGCGACGTCAAAGACAAGTCATCAATCCTACATTTACAACATTAAAATTAAAAAATATGACACCGCTAATGAATAAATGTATCGAATCAATGCTTGTGAAAGTGAACGAGATGAATGGTACTGAATTCAATATATATGTACTGTACAAACGACTGACTATGGATGTTATTTGTGAGTAATAAACATTATATTTGGCGTACTGAACACATGATTGTATATATGCACAGGCAAATTTTGTCAAAATTAGCATAAATAATATCTTGCTTCGCACATATGCAATCAAGAATATTACGCAACAACTAAACAGTTTCAATAATAGTGAAAGATTAAATCAAATGTCTCAAATGCTAACTATTGTTGATAGCTTTTAAGAAATTTGACTCTTTAATTGTATATCCTTTCCGAGTTTAATAGCCTGCACGATCAGTGAGAGATATGAAATCTAATCCAAGTCCACAAGAATAGACCCATAAGACCTGAATCTTATCGCGGATGGGATTGGTGTAGAGTTTGGAACCGATCGAATTGCAGATAATCTTTAGTTTTGAACATGAGACAAGAGAGAAAAACTTGTATTTATAAATAATTTTTGTCTGCCTCACTAAATGTTGATGAGAAAATCAAACCAAATAAAATTCACCATCGAAAAGTTACACTCACGACTGTTTTCAAATAATAGAACTTTTTGATGTATTGTAGGGCATTGTGAATTCGGCATTGATACGGACATGCAAAATGATGTCGATAATATTTATATGCAAAAATCAATCGCTTGTTTTGCAACTGATGTCGAAAAATTACCTGTGGTCAAATTGTCTAATCTAATGCCATTTCTCATTCCTGTACTAGTTCAAATCTTCAAAGCTCGTGTCCTAATTATCAATATACTGCAGACAACTGCACCTTCACTCGTACGTAACGTAGAGAATATGGCAATGTTTTGGATCATCAACCAAGTGGAAGAAGTAGTCAAGCAACGATTAGCATCTGGAAAGAAACGAATGGATTTGCTTCAATTAATGTTGGATGCAGCCACACACGACGAACTTCAGGTTGATTTATCAAAAACTCTGAATATTCTTTTCTCAGGCAAAGAAATTTAAAAATGAAAATGATGCTTGTTACGCAGATACCGTAAATGAATTTTTTCTGTCTACAATACAGATGACAAGTTCTACTGGTAACAAAAAATCCTACATCGATCATGAAAGTTTCACATGTTTACCCTTTCTACTTTTCCGCTTAATTAAAGAACAGTTGACTAAACTAAAAACCATCCCTGACTCTTGCTTGCAAATAAGTGTGATGATCATTTTAGGATGACAAACCAAATGATTCAATGTCAAAGCGTCTTTACTACGCTGAAGTGGTGATGAATGTTTTCTTCTTCATGCTTGCTGGTTTCGAAACAACTTCGACTGTTCTAGCGTATTCAACTTATGTTCTAGCTAAACAACCTAATATTCAGCATAAACTACGGAAAGAAATCAATGAATATTGGAGAGAAGGTGAAGACGAACTTAATTACGAGATAATAAGTGATATGACATACATGGATTACTTTGTACGAGAAATTCTACGAATGTATCGAATATCGGGTCAAGCCAGCACTCGACAATGTGCTACGGCGACGACTGTTTGTGGTCATCAGATTGACAAAGGTAACTGAATGTTTACATCTGATTGTGAAGTCACGAGTGTATTTATTTTTGATATAAAGAGTTTTCCATCGTGCAAAAAGTAATATCTATACTAGAAATAGATGGGGCGTCGTTTAGCTGATGGAAGGAAACAGTCGGATAAAAGTACGTAATGAATAAGTTACTGCAACTTTTGTAAGAGTATCAATATAGTATGCCTGATTTGACATTATCGAGAAAAATATATTCCAACATGAAGTGTCTATTACTGAAGAATGACGTAATGTTCGCTTTTTATCTAATATTCTTTTGTTGCCAATAAAATCTATGTGACTAACAGAATATATGAGTGATAATTTAGTTAGAAAAGAAATGTTTTTTACTAGCTTTTCTCTGTTATACAAAGATTCAAATGTATACATAGTTATTTTATTTTACAGGTTGTGTAATCCTAGCAGACGTTCATGCCATTCATTACAGTACCGATCTATGGGGTCCGGAAGATCCTAATCTGTTCATTCCAGAGCGTCACGCTGTCAAACGTCATCCTCTTGCTTACATGGGATTCGGTGTTGGACCACGAAATTGTGTAGGAATGAGATTCGCTTTGATGGAATTAAAATTGTGTTTAGCACGCTTATTACATATATATAATATTCTTCCCGGTGAAAATATCGAAAAGGGCATGGTTCGACGAGAAACACCAATCATTACACCAGAGGCCATCTATGTGCGACTGGAAAAACGATCGAATTGAACCAATAGACAAACTCATTGCATAAAATTTTCTGTACGACAAAATAAATATTGGGAGTGACAACTAGCCTGAGATTACAATACTTTTTTTTCATATGGCTTCAGTTACATGTCAGAAAAATATGATTTTTTTTTCTAACAGTTATAATATACATACAGTGAGGGGTCAAAAAAGCATGTACATTTTTGTTTTTACGCATAAACGAATAATAAGGATACTCTGAAATTTTCTCTCATATCGAACTTAGTAGAGCTTTTTT